ATTAAAGGAGAGGAGTGAGGTCCTAGACACACAACATGAGTCTTTAAACACTCTGAAATTGATAAAAGCGAAATATATAATTGCAGAGGAGGGGAACTGGATCTTTTTTATTTCCTTTGACAGATTTCCTCCAGGTGAGTAGTACCATTGACAGTACACGATACCCATGAATGCACCACAATGAACGGTACCCGTGAAAGCACACGGAGTGAGAGCTCTTCACTTCCTCTCTCCCTCCTGCCGCTTTGGGTTTGAGGTTCCTGCGTCAAAGGTTCCACACGCTGTTCCACATGTGTTATTGTTTTGTTAAGGTAATTCATTTGTGATGCATTGAAATAAACTATAGTAACATGGGAAAGAATAAAAGGAACAAGCCAAACGAGTCGGGGAAACAAGCGGACAAGGCCGGAAAAAACCCAAGGTAACGTAACTCTAACAGAAAAAACTGCTGGCTAGCTGTTAGCTGATATTAGTTGCGAGCTGTTAAAAATGAGATTCAACTTGTTTACATCATCCTTGTATTTAAGTGAGTGACATGTGCCTTTTTAAAAATACTGACTCCACTTTTTTTTTTCCCTAAATGCTATTTGGACTGCAATGTGTCTAAACTTTAGTGATAAGAAGTTCAAACGAGATGCTAAACCCAAGAGAGCCAAACCAGACCACCTGAAAGACATCCCCTTCAGGCTCCGAGAGATCATGAAGAGCAAGGAGAGGATGAAAACGGGACCCTTGAAGGCCAAAAAGCTTAAAGATGGTGAGTAGAAAAGCTTCTTTACACTGTCATGTATCCGTATACCTTATGCATCTACATAAGGACCTACCTTGGCTGGTAGAGTTACTATAACACATTTATAAAAGTATTTCTCATTCTGATTCTACTATTTAAGCCATGGGTTTGTTTATAACCAATGAGGGATTTGTGTCTTTGTCTCTTCAGTCATTCCCCCTAAAGGTAAACCAGAGGATTCCCAGGATGGAGACATACCCGTCCCACATTTCAAGAGGAGAAAGATGGAAAGTGAGAAAGCATACGTGCGGCGCATGCAGAATGAGACAAATCACGTCCTCTTCCTCACCAAGAACCAGGTAGACAGGAAGCCTGAGCTGGATATAGATGAACAAGAGAAGCCTGCAGACAAGGGCAAGTCTGAGAAAAAGAAAGAGTGAGTATGCAGCTGTTTCTCCTAGTGTTTGTGTTGATGTGGGGCCAACCGAGTCCTCGGTGGCACATATCTAATTGTTTCGATCTTTGTTGTCTTGCTACAGGTATGATAAAGGCAGATTACAGAGACTACAACTGAAGAAGTTGGACAGACAGGAGGACATGTTGGAAAAAGAGATGTTTGTTGGTAAGGAAAGCATATTTATTCAGCAACATTTGCCACTGAAGGATGTGAGGGAGGAGGTATTTCCTCTATAATTCATTATAAACATGCACTGGCCAAACTAGTTTTCTAGAAGCTGATCGTTCCCTGAAAAATCAAAGGATCCCACTGGGTTTATATTCTTCAGGTTTATCAGAAAACGTTTCCCTAAGCCTTTCAGTGATTTATAATTGCACTGCAGAAAAAAATATTCTAAAGCCAATTGGAAGTCACAATACTTTTTAAATTTAAACAGGAGGAACTTCTTGTTCTAATTTTGACACAAGCTTTTGAATGTGCTGTAGCTGTTTAATAATCATTTGGTGGGGAAAATCAAAAAAGAGACCTTTGCAATGATCCACTGTGTTAAAAAGGCATTCATTTTTCAATAAGCGTGTGAGAGCTTTAAATCTATAATTCTCGCTTCTCGCTACAGCAAAAATGCTACAGAATTTACCTTTAATGCGAGGGGATTTTGTTTGTTTTTGGCGTGTAGCCCTGAATTCAAAGTGAGAAGTAACCAGCTGATTTTCTCCAGGCCAAGCTTATGAAAAAGCTGCAAAATGTTTATTTTTCTAATTACATGTTCCTCTCAACTCTACAGAGTAAAATAATTTGTGTTTGTGTACTGATATGATGGGTTTTTGTTTTGTAGATAATGTTCCCTTTGGTGAAGTTTCAATGGCCCCGCCGTCTTTGAGTTTCAAACCCAGGAAAGCTCCGGTCAAATCTCAGGTAACTTGCTATGCAGTTATCCAATGTCATTTTGGTGATTGTAATGGTTGAGTAAGAGGTTAATTAATTTTTTTTTTTTAATTTTTTTTTCCCTCTCTTCCACCTGCGTCATCCAAAAGGGATCAAAGAACCTGCTTCTCAACTCTCTCCTCGGCCAAACCGTTGCTTCCACAACCAAGCCCTCCATGGCCAGACAGAGAATAATGGAGGAGGAGAGGGTGCGAGCGGTGGAGGCCTACCGTCATCTTAAGAAACAGAAACAGCTGCAGCACGAGGCCAGGACTGCTGGTCTGGAAAAACTCAAAAACCTTCAGTGACAGTTTGTGTCAAAGAAAGTCCCTCGCTTGAGTCAGCAGGGCAGTTCACATTGTAAGATAACCATGAGCAGACGGACTGTATTATGTAACAATGGAATATTCCAGCGAGGGAGCTTACCTCAATGTAGCTAACTGTCAGGGAAAGAAGCAAACATTTGCATCCACAGGCCACAGTATGAGATAAGTTACTATCAGCATTCCCACTGCCACTCTCAATATCACGTTAAGCTCAAAAGTGAACAGGACATACACTATTATTAATGCCTGTTTAAATGTGTATAAAGAAGACAAACTGATGACGGCTAAACACATCCAGACAGGTGACTTCTGTTGATTTGTCACCCTGTAACTGTGTTGGATGTTTACTGGTAAGTGTTCATTTACGCTGTGTTCATCTTTAGGTAACATTTGTGATATGGTAGACAATAAAATCATCAAGAATCAACCTATGATTGTTATTTTTGGACCCACTAGATGGCAGTCCTCCAGTAGAAAGCTGGTTTTATTTTGTTTGTATGGGGAGTGAACTGAATTATTTTGGACTTTTTGTAAAGCAAAACATTTTTTTTTTGTGGCACACCATGCAATATTATATATGTGAACATATTTTCAGTCTGTACAAAACAACCATCAGCAGACAGTTTGTCATGTAATTGTAGATGTTCGAATTCCCATTTTTTTCCCTGATCACTTTAAGGACTTCTCGTCCATATTGGCTTAAAAAGATGAGGTTCAAAGTTAATTCCTGCTGTTGAGAAACAAGTCTTACCACCAGGTATATTCCCCAGCTGTCGCGGAGCTTTCAGCAGGTAACACAGTCAACCTTTGAAGATTGCATGATAGTTTTTCTCAGCTGCGGTTGCCAAGCACGAGAAATAATTTTGGACCTCACTTATAGGAATACATTCTAGAAATGTGGGGGAAATTAACTATAAAAGCGGTCCCTTGTTTTCTCTTGTACCTCTCTGAGAGCCTGAATCCCGGGACAAATAAATCACATCAGCTTTTTTCAGATCACTTATTAGAGCCTGGCACAGCTATTTACTTTTGTAATCCGTAAAAGGTTTACCCCCATGAACAAGGCCTTTGTTTAAATATTGGCCTCTGGGACAAAATGTACAAGTTCAGAGATGTTTTGTTGTTCTTTCAAAGCATCGTAGAACTAAAAGCAAACATTATTTTCATATATTTGTGATATAGTGAATGATATCACTAGATCCCATTACCTATTAATATTAAATCCCTGTTGCCTAGTCTGTGCTCACTGATTTCTGTTTGATCAGCTTTTTTTTTATTTTTCTATGTCCGTGTTTGTCCTCTGAGGGTTGTCACAGTGACAAGGAAATTCATTAAGTGGGAACAGCTGCTTGTGATTGGTAGTGCTGACTCCTTTGAGCCGGGCTCAACCACTACTGGTCATGTAACCACCCGTGTCCATGTGCACAAGACAGCTATTCATATTATCAGGGGATTACAGTTGCTGCCTGTCAGAGAAAGATGCTTTTTTTTATGTCAGCTCAAGTCACTGTTGATCAGGACTTCATGTCTAATGTATTAATATAAAGCTAACCAGCTCAGTGACATTAGACACCAATTACAAAGTAAAGAGTGGGACGTTGTTGGGAAATGCAAAGAGAATGTTATATCAAATCTCTCTACTCTTTCTTTTGTTTAAATTTAAATTTGGATTAATCCTGTTGTGATCAGGTTGTTAGACAAGATCACTGGTCTTTGCACCTTCATGCAGGAGATTAAAGGGTGCAGGCACGAGCACGTTCTCTTTTCTGATGTGTCTGATTTCCAGTTGGTGAGCAATTTCATCTCTGAGCAAGTACTCATGGCTGCTGACAGTACAGGATGGTGGGAGTAATTGGGAGAGAGCCTACTCAGCCTGCTGCTAGGCAGCCGCAGCTCATTCTGAAGCTCTTAAAGTGTGTGTGTGTGTGACAAATTATATGTGAATAATTGTTCCTCTCCCTGTAGAGAAAAGGAAGAGCTCATAAGTCAAAGCAGTTGTCCATGCTAATTTGTCTTTCCAAAATAATGTTTTGAATATACAGTATGTTTATTTAAAAACCATAAACCCTCAGTAGCATTTTAAAACTTAGTTTTTTCAGTAATTAAATCCCATTCAGTCATAGTGTGATTATTTGCATTCATTTTTATCAGAAACTACATCAAATGTATTGTTAATGCCTAAACTCAAAATATAAGTGCGCACACGTAGTAGCTCTAAGACTGTTACAGTCCTAAATTCAAACTAGGAAGAGAATTATTATATACAGTATATTACTGTTTGGGTAGTGTAACATCCCCAACATATCATTCAGTGCCACATAAAATAGTTGCTTACACCACAGTATGACAGTTAATGTTTATCAAGCCAATATATGTAAATAACTGCTCTATGTACAGCACATGCTGATCCTTGTGATACTTCCTCTTGCATTATCCCACATGTGCCGCCTTGTGAGTTGTGTTACCTGTTACAGTGATCCAACAGCCACACAGGATTTAAGGAACATGTACAGGTTTAATAAGTTACATTTTTTTATACCTTTTACATACAGTTGAATTTTTATAAATCCAGGACACTACAAAATCATATGGCTTTCAGAGGAAGTCTGCCACAACATTATTTCACAAGTAAACGGAGTATGTATAACAACAGATAAACAAATCAGCAGTTTTTTATATTTTAAGTGACATCAGTGAGAACACACATTTTTAGTGTTTGTGAATAAAAACTTGTAACAGTTACATTATAGACCTTTAAACCCTGCACCTAATTCCTGTCTACTGTTTCTCCACTATCAACCTATAGAAAATCAGTTGTCACCTGAAAATGTTACACAGTGTTCCACTTTGGGATTTAGATTTTGTAGAGACAGAACAGTTTTTGGTCTTGCTCTTAGCTAGAATGTAAAGTAGATGCTTCCCCATGGGAATACATAAATGCCACTCTTTATCTCAGGTTATTGACTTTTTATTTTGTCCAGTGAGTGAAGTTACAGTTAAGCAAAGCTGGTTTATAGCTGATGGTAGGGTACAGGTAGGGCACTATTTTCCATTGAGTGAGGATGGGAATGAAATAGAGGAGCTGAGGCACAAACTTTCCATATGAAAATCATTTTGGCCATAAACTACCGTTCATAAGTTTTGGTCACCTGTTATATTGATGTTTTTATTCTTCAATACTGGCTACTTCAACATAGAGTAAAAACAGTAGGCTATTCAGACACCAGATGTCTCATTTACATCTGAAATAGTGTTAGCCTCAATAAATGATTCAAACTTCTATTTAGGCGTTGCCCCCACAGTGTTGCATCACGGAGAATACTGCTGCAACCATTTCCCCCCCAAATACCCTTCAATTTTGAAAATCATAAGTGACCCTAGATTGTTATTGAACCACTTAAAAGTGTGAAAGACCATTCAAAAACAGAGTAGCCCTCTCAGCAATCTGACTGTACCGAATCAAGCTTTTGTGGCAGGCGAGTCCAGACTTTTGAGCGGTTTATACATTTGCCTTCATAAGATGTCCATCTCATATATTGTCAGTGTCTTTACAACCTTTTGATTGAGTGTCACTCAGCCCTTGTGCATACAAAACAGACAAACAATGCACGAACATTAGAGGAAATAAAGTATAAGAAGTGTGTGTGAGAGGAGCTAGGTCACATTACCGCCTATTGCTGTAGCTTAACCACTGTTAAGTAGGAAGAGAAAGGGGGACATGTTATATTTGATACTAGGACAAACCGCTGGTGGAGATTTTTTTCATAGCTCTAACAACCGAGCGTTGAGTGGTGACTCTTGACTCGCGCTGCCTGCGTGTGACAGTCCTTAAGAAGGTAAGGACTCGATTGAACGAGGCAGGGAGCTACTGCTTCCTGGATTCAAAGAAGGAGCTCTGGCTCGAGGGAACATCGTGCCTTGGTCCATCTTTAGAAACGCACAAAGAAGTGATTATTTTAGATGTAAACAGAATAAGGAAATGTTGTGTGTGTGTGTGTGTGTGTGTGTGTGTGTGTCAAATACTGTGTACACTCACCTTAGTCAGACCCTTGGCAATCAGGGCTATTTCAGTGGGTTGGTACACACAACTGCGTAGCTGACCATTGTAAGCACCATATGGAGACACTGGCTTTGTGGGTACTGGTAAAGAAAAGGTGGAGGAGGATTAGAAAATAAGAAAGAACGTTTGCTGCTGATGCTTTTTTTATGAAAAACACAAACACATTTTGAGACATCTGCCATTGTTTGAAGAGACGGACATTTACTCAAGCTGACCATTAAAGTGAATCAATATTTGCTGCATCTGTTAGTTGCATATTGTAAAATTTTGAAAGCACACTGCAGTGTCTCCTATTTTAAATACGTGTCATACTCAGACACTTCATTTCTCTTATATTTTTCACCAACCTGACAACAAAAAAAGTTTGCTGTCACTATTTTCTCCTTCCTAATTAGTGTCTGTATGTCATCATTGAAAATATTAAGAGTTGTACTATTGGTACACTTCCAAGCAAACAAGTGAACTAATTATATTATATTATATTATTTAAAGACTTTGTAACTGTGATGTGGTAAATTAAGTTCCAAGTAAGCGACTGATGTAACTGCCTCATAATATTGGCCAAGGATACAACCTTCAATAAGTAGATCAGATTTTTGTCCTAAAAGAGGGCAGGCATGTTTCCTGAGTAGCACATATTTAGCTTTATCCTATAAGTAGATTCCCATGGGCGCTGCCAGACACTAATACATGTGGACTTTCGATGGGCCTGGTGTGTCAAACAGGTAAGCACGAAGGAGTGTCAATCTTACGGATTGGAATGCACGCTCCACTGAATGGGTTTTGTTTGGCGTTTTTTGCATGGTAGGTAGCATCCAAATCAACACATTCAACAGGCAAAGTAGTACACAGCGTCTTATATAAAGTATTTACATACAGAAATCTCCCTCACACACTTTGACACTAAATGGTTACAGTGGATGCTACATTTAGGTTCATTCACAATTCCCCTTCAGCTTCACAGAGATTGAGCAGTATTGCAGAGAGTAGGAGGAAAACTGTAAGTCCAAATGTGCGAAGATGATGCAAGCCTCGTCTGTCATCATTTGTGTTTTTGCATATTTTTCTTGTAAACATTTGTTTTTCACTTCAGTGTCCCATGGCTGACATGATTTGAGCCAACCATTTAACCAAGACTTCTATCTTTCTTGGTAATCACACTTGAAACTCGAAGTAGAGAGCTCCTGAGAGCTCAACATACTGTATCGTGAGAAAACACATGCAAATGGAGAAAACACAACCAAATACAGAAGCTTTGCAAGTAGCACAGACAGCAACGAAAAGTATTTCCAGGGGACTCATGAAAACATTGGAGTCAGCTTTCCATAAGTGATGTGGGAAAATTAGCTAAGTTGTTAGTTTTTTCGGTGACCACAAGTGCTGTTCGCAGTCGCGTGCGTCTTTTTTAGTGTCCCCCGGAAACAGTTTCTGTAGCTGTCTGTGCTACTTGCAAAGCTTCTGCATTTGGTTGTGTTTTCTCTATTTACATGT